TTGTTGATATGATGGATTATGTTTATTATTTCTGAATTTAAACCACCCTTGCATCCCCGAGATGAATCCCACTTGGTCATTGTGTATGATCTTTTTGATGAGTTGTTGAATTCTATTTGCTAGTAATTTGTTGAGAATCTTCTCATCCTTGTTCATCAGGGATATCGGCCTGTAATTCCCTTTCTTTGTGGTATCTCTGTCTGCTTTTGGTGTCAGGGTAATATTTGTTTCATAGAAACTGTTCGAAAGTGTTTTTGATATTTCAATTTCGTAGAAAAGTTTCAAGAGGATTGGCAATAAGTCCTCAAAGATTTGGAAGAATCCATCTATTGAATCCATTTTGGCCAGGACTTTTGTGCTTGGGGAGATTTTATTACTGTTTCAATTTCCTCGATGGTGATAGGTCTGTTCACGTATTCCAGGTCTTCTTGGGTCAGCCTTGGGAGGCTATAGGAATCTAGGAATTTATTCATTTATTCGAGGTTTTCGTGTTCCATGGCATAAAGCTTCTAAAAGTACTCCCTGAGGAGACTTTGAATTTCTGTAGTTTCTGTTGTAATGAACCCCTTTTCATTTCTGATTCGGTTTATGAGGGTTTTCTCTCTCCTTTTCTTTGTAAGTTTTGGTAGAGACTTATCGATCTTGTTTATTTTCTCGAAGAACCAGCTCTTGGTTTCATTTATCTTTCATATTGGTTTTTGGGTTTCCATCTAGTTAATCTCTCCCCTGAGTTTTTTTATTTCCTTCATCCTGTTCGGATTGGGCTCCTTTTGTTGGTCATTCTCTAAATTCTTAAGCTGTGAGGTTAGGTCACTTATGTGGACTCGCTCCTCCTTCCTGAGAAATGCTTGTAGAGATATAAACTTTCCTCTCAACACAACTTTTGCTGTGTTCCATGAGTTTTGGTAACTCCTGTCCTCATTTTCGTTCATTTCCAGGAATCTTTTAATTTCCTCTTTGATTTCCTTTCTAAGCGACTCGTTGTCCAATAGTGAACCGTTTAATTTACAGGTGTTTGATTTAGTTCTCTGTTTTTGTGTGTGATTTACTTCTAATTTCAGTGCATTGTGATCTGAGAAGATTGTTTATACAATCTCTATCTTCTTAATTTTATGGAGGTATGTTTTGTGGCTCAGCATGTGGTCTATCTTGGAGAATGTTGCATGCACACTTAAGAAGAATGTGTATTCAGCTTTTTGAGGATGAAGTGTCCTGTATATATCAACTAAGACCTTATCTTCCATTTTTCCCTCAGATGAAGTATGTCCTTGGTAAGTTTGAGTCTGGTTAATCTATCAAGAGGTGATAAAGCGGTGTTGAAGTCTCCCACTAGGATTGTGTTGCTATCGATGTCTTACTCCAAGTTTATGAGTAGTTGTTTTAAGTACTTTTCTGGTTCCTCATTAGGTGCATATACATTTAGTATTGTAAGTTCTTTCTTTTGTACAGATGTCTTGATCAATAAGGAATGTCTTCACTGTCTCTTGTGACATTTTGAGTCTGAAATCAATGTGGTCAGATACTAGGATGGCGACCCCACCTATTTTATGGGACTTGTTTGCCTGTGGGATTGTTTTCCAGTCTTTGATTCTGTGCCTGTGTTTGCTTTGACTGTTGAGATGTGTTTCTTGCAGGCAGCAGAATGTTGGGTTCAATTTTCTAATCCATTCTGCCACTCTGTGTCTTTGAATTGCTGCATTTAGCCCATTGACGTTGACAGAGATTATTGTTATGGGGTTTTGTCCCATTTTTCTGTTGAAATTTGGTTTATTTGAGGGGCCTGTCTTGTCTTAAAGGAGCCCATTTAGTTGCTCTTGTAACCATGGTTTTGAGTCTATGAATTTCCTGAGCTGTTGTTTGTGAAACTGTGTGTTGTTCCTTCTTTTATGATTGAGAGTCTCGTTGGGTAAAGTATTTCTGGGGAGGCATTTATTTCATTGAGGTTTTTTTTTCACTATATCCCACCACTGTTTTCGGGCCATGAGGGTTTCATCAGACAAATCAGCTGTGAATCTTAAGGATGCTCCTTTGTAAGAGATTTCTTTCTTCTATCTTGCTGCTTTCAGAATTTTGTCTCTATCTAAGGTTTTGGTCATTTTGATCAGGATGTGTTTTGGGGTATTTTTATTCGGATTTCTTCTAGCTGGTACCCTTCGGGCCTCCTGAATGTGGTCACAAGTTTTCTTCAGCTCTGGAAACGTTGTAGCAATGATGTCTTTGACAGTTTCTTCTTCATCAAGGTTTTCTTCCTGTTGCTCTGGGACTCCAATAATTCTTATGTTACCCCTCTTGGCTTCATCACGATCTTCTCTTGTCAGCTGTTGCCGAATTGTGAGTCTCTTTTCCATTTTGTTCTTTTCTGGAGAGTCTCTGCACTTCATCTTCGAGCTCACTGATTCTGTCCTCAGCAGCTGTTACTCTGTTTCTGAGGCCTTCCACTGAGTTTTTCAAGTCACCTTCCAGGTTTTTCAGGTCTGACATTTCTGTTTGTAATTTTTTTGCATTTTCCTCATTTCTATCTTCAAATCCTCTTGTCTTTTATTGGCATTGCTTTTCATTGTTTCTTTTAACTCCCTAAGCATCCTCTGTAGCTCCCTTCTAAATTCTTTGTCAGAGAGGTTGTCTAGCACTTCATTACTGTTGGTGTCTTCTGGGCTAGCCTCTTCAATAAGTAAGCTTGGTGGACTTCTGCGTTGCTTTACCATTGTAAAGCAAGTGTGTGGTTTAGATCTTCAGGTTCACTATTACTATTCTGCTTAAGATTCAGAATAAATTGAGATGGGCTCAATTAATTATTGGCTAATGTGTTTATTTTGGTTAAGCTATCCAAGTGAAAATTCCATCTAAGCGGGTAACTTATGATTCCCATGGGATATTTATGGGAGAATAACTCGTGGCCGCTAATGCAGCCGTGGCTCCGGGAAGGGTCCCTGCCACTGGGCGGGTACCTGGATGAGTGAGCAGAGGGTGGTGGAATGGCTCAGCTTTGAGCTAATGCGGTGTGCCTCAATTCCCGTCCCCCGCAGACCAAGGATGAAAATCAGCATTTGTCAGGGGATCTAGTTAGACATGCAGCCCCGGGAAGGGGCCCTGCCGCCGGGCGGGTACCTGGATGTGTGAGCATCTGAGAAGCCTCTAAGGGGTCATGTGTGCCTTATGAGTAACTTCCTTGGGCATAGCCATGGTGACTTTTATTATCTTAGAATTGTGATTGCATAGGTCTGTCTAGTCCCTCATCTCTGTTATGTGCCATTGACAAGTGATGAGACAAAAATTTTGGGAGAAAACTTTATGGTTACTGAACACACACTACATTATATGTGGTGGAACTATTTTTTTGTCTATATTTTATTGCTATATTCCCAACACCCAACATAGTTTTTGACTTGGTTCAATAAATCTGTTTTGAAGAGATTAATGACTGAGTTGAATATGGGTAGAATGTACAACCATTGTGGTACACTGTTACAGAGAAGTTCAGTAGAAGAGATTGTTTTCAGATTGGGAGGGAGGAATGCATAAGTCTTCATAGTATAGGTGGCATTTGAACTGGTTTCTGAAAAGTAGATACTAAAATGACAGGAGATCCAAGCAGAAGAAAGAGTATAAAGATAGAATGTGGAAAAGGGCAGATTTCATTCAGTAAGAAGCCAGTAATAAAATGTTGCTGGAGCATGAGTACATGATAGGCTATGGTGGTATTTTGAATCAGACTGAAATATGCTATAAGAATACAAAGAGTCTTGAAAATTATGCTAAGAATTTATACTAAATTTTGCAGGCAATGTGAATTCATCTTTTTTTTTTCATGAATGTAAGATATTTGCCTTAGAAAGAGTGGATATGTACTTTATGACAGCAATTCTTTAAAAAACTACCTATGGAGAGTTTATCAAGTGCCTGGCTCTGTGCTATGGGGAGAGTATGTTGAATAAGGGATTAATTGGCAGACTGTTACAGAGATCCAGGCAAGCTCCTGAGGGTCCTCGTGTACTGGGTGGTGAGAGAAAAGAGGGGATAATTTAACAGATATTGAGGAGATAATAATTCTTATTAAGATCTGAGTGGCTCCTTCATGCCACAAAGTGCTTTATGTACATCACCTAGTTTTCACAAAATCCCTTTTGATAGGACACTAAGACTTGAAAGAAGGAACTTGAACTTGAGAAGGTGCTAAACTCTAGTTCCTGGGAACACATTCTATACTGCTTTGGGTGGAACTTAGAGACCTAATTTTCTTGGCAAAGGATTTTAACATTTCAGTGAGGATACCCAGTTCCTTCATAATTCATGTTCTCCTTTTGCCTGTTCCCTCTAGCAGTTCTTACTGAGTACCCTTTACTTGGCAGTGGGAAAAAGAGTAGGAGAGATGACACTGGTATGCTCAAATAAAGGCTAAAATCAAGGTCAACAACTGGTAATCACCAGGCCATGCAGGGCTTGCAGACATCTTTAGTCAACTCAATTGTCCTTTTGTTTAGATTTGAGCCAACACTAAGAAATTTGAGGGGCTGTAGCAATAGCACAGCGAATAGGGCATTTGCCTATCCGGCCGACCCAGGTTCGATTTCCAGTGTCCCATATGGTCCCCTGAACACCGCCAGGATTAATTCCCGAGTGCAAATCCAGGAGTAACCCCTGAGCATCACCAGGTTTGACCCAAAAAGAAAAAAAAGAAAGAAAAGAGAAATTTGAGGTAAGATTCCTGTAAGGCCCGACTTCCCTAAAGAATGAGATACAAGCAGTGTTGGTCTCACATACGCTCCAATTGAACCACTCACATTGGAGTCCACACTTCTCCCCATTGTGACCCACTTGACTCACTTGTATTTATTTTCCTGATCCCTTCAGAAGGCAGCTTGTGATTGTCTACAGTGGCCTACTACAGAGTTTCCCTCTTTTGCCTGATTAGAACCAATAGTGGGTTCAACACCCTATGGTCTCACTCATCCCCTAGGCACCTGAACCCATTTCACAAAAATAAGACCATGAAAGAAGAGTTATCATCAAGTCTTACCATTTATTTCTTTATGGGGTTAAACAAGAGCAGAGAGGCCTCTGCCCCACAGTGCAACAAAACAGAAAGCAGTACACATACAGAGACTCTCACCTAAACACAGAGGCTGTGGAGAGGGAGGGAAAAGACAACTGAATCGTAGCTGGGTGAGGAAGGAAGGGACAGGGAACTACAAGGAATCCAGCTTGGAGACTCAGTCATAGGAACTAGTGCAAGAAAGTTCTACTCATGAAGCACAGTGTAGAAAATGGCATAAGAAAGCTACCCAGCTCTGTTGCCTGTGACAGGGCTGGGGAAGCTGGAGTAGTGGTGGAAAGTCTGGGTGGTAGGGTGGACGGGGAGTCAAATGACTTTGAGGTGGAGTGAGGTGCCCCTTTCCCCTGCCGCTGGGCAAGGCCCTGGGCTGGTCTGAACCAGGGGTCTCCTGGGCACTTGGTGAAGAGGAAGAGAGGATGGGAGTCTCCAAGGGTCCATTCTCTGGGACCCTAAGGTCCCCCTTTACTTGTCAGTTCCTTTTCCCCTCCTGAGGATGCAGGAGTTTGAAGGCAGTACCTAGGGTCTCAAATCTACATAAGCATCTCTGGAAAGGAGCCAGCACCTCTTCCCCTCCCCAGTTGAAAAGAGCACTCTAGGGATGGGGTGTGTGGCTAGGCCTGAAGTGCTGAGGACAAAACAGGGGAGTGTGAGAGCAGGGCACAGGGGTCAGGGTTGGGAGGGGACACACTTTTGAGAAATGAGAAAACTGGCAGGAAAGACTCCACAGTCTCATTAAGCCTAGTCTGGGACCCAGCAGCTCTTGAGACTCCCTCTTTATTAGAGAGCCTACCCTTTCATTCTCAAGTGAACCAGTTCTACTTATCCTCTCCCATCCTCGTTTTGGTTTCACTGTAACACAAGTCTAGGCCCACCATTCTCCTTTACTCATGTATATCACATCCTACACCATAGGTCTTCTGGCACTGAGAGCTTTTCAACATGTCTCAGGAACACAGTTCTGTCTCCCTTTCTTGTGGCTCCTTTTAGCTTTTAGATGCCCCAGGCAATGTGGCTTCTGCCTCCCAGAAAGTGGACACAAAGCTAAAGGTCCACAAAGGGCTCACAATGTCTCTTGTACTTCAGTCCTCTGGCCTGACTGAACATTTCAAGTCTCTCAGCCAAGGAAAGTAAAGTAAAAGTAAAGGCCCTCCCGTTGATCATCGATTTGCTCGAGCGGGCCCAGTAACATCTCCATTGGAGACTTTGTTGTTACTGTATCTGGCATATCCAATACTCTCGGTAGCTTGCCGGGCTCTCCGAGAGGGGCGGAGGAATCGAACTCGGGTCGGCCCCAGTATTCTCTTTATTCTCTTTATTCTGTGGGTCCTCTTGTCAGTTTCTGGATTTTCTCTAGCCAGGGGCAGGGGTAGTTGGACCAGGAGACCTGCTACAGGGTGAGGAGACTGGTTTTCCATAATTGGGATGGAAAGGGGTGGATACTCTTTGGTAGGCTGGGGACAAGGACAGGATGGAGATTGGGGAGGCTCATCTCTGGAGAGCCCTGGGTCCATGCCACCAGGTTCTCCTTCATGAAGGCCTGGGCTAGTATATTATGAGGGCATTTGCAGACCCAGGCCAGGCCTGACTCACTTGGGCCTAAGTCCCTCCTCCCCATGGAGATCAGAAATGAAAATGTTTTTGGCTCCAAGGCCAAGATCTCCAGGGCAAGAGTGGCCCTTGGAAGTATGTGCACCTTCTGTAAGATATGGCCCTTCAGACACTGGCAGTCTGACCTTGTGCCCTCAGACTTCTGTTTTGAGCCCCAGCAACCTGTTTCTGCATTCTTTCCCTAAATGGCTCCTTGAGTAATTCTCTCAGGCTAGGGGAGTCACTCTTGAGTTTGACTTAATAGTTATCACCTACCTCCCCCATCTCAGGTAGCAACAGCATATTTGGCTGTTTCTCTGAGGCCTCTTGAAAGACTTTTCTCCCTTCCCTTTTCCAACTCTCTCCAAATGCTAATTATGCACCTCATTCCTACCTCTAATTGCCTAAGGTGGTGGGGCCAAACTCAACTGGGGCTAGCTGTGACTCTGTGTACCTTATCTTCCAACCTGACACTTCACTGTGGTGGCTCCACATGGGGCTAGGTGAGCTGGAGTGGGAGAAGGGCCACTGCACCGTCTGCCATTGCCTGTAGGGGTATGGGCAGGAGGGAATTAAGGATCGTGGCAACAAAAGGAATGTGGAAGGGGGAAGGAGCTTCTCCCCTCTGTGCCCCCCAACATTCCCTGCAGGGCCAAAGCTGAATGAACAGCCTCCTTCCATGGGGCCAGGACTCTCAATAGAGATGGGCTTTTCTAGCCCCCACCTTTCTTTTTATTTTTTGCTTAGTCCCATAGGTGGGGACATGGGAGAAGGTACCTGTTGCTCCTGCTTTTTTTCTCCCAGATGAGTTGGGCAGCTCCTTGGGGCCTTCTGGCGATTCTGCTAGAGCTGCTTTTTTTGGGGGGTACACTGGGGTGATATTTAGTTCCCTACTTCCCCATCCCCCACCTGGTCCTATACCTCCCTATACCTCCCACAGGAAGAGCCCCCTCCCCCTCCACCTGGGGGGCTGGAGCTGATGTCAGTGTGTGGTGGAGTTCTGTCCTCCTTTCTGTTGTCACTCTTCCCGAGTCAGGCCCTCATCTAGGGCAGGCAGTGCCTCCAGCCCTAGTCCTCCACCACCCTGGTTACTGGAGAAGGACACCATGGTATGGAGGAGCATGAGAAAAAGGATGTAGAGCCGGATCCTGCTGGGGCTGAGGCGGGATCCCCCAGAGACCTGCAGCAGGGGGGGCTTGTGGCTGCCATAGCCTGGAGGTTCATGGTGGGTGTGGTAGTGGTGGTACTGTTCATGGTAGTGGTGGAAATAGGAGTGGTGGAATTGCTGGTGGTGAGTTTTAGGGGCCTCAGACTCCTTGAACTTCTTCTTCTCTGATTCACACGAGACCCACTGCACATCACAGCACTTGGTTTCCGGCCGCTTTGGTGATGTATCCAGCAAACCTGCCAATGAATAAGGAAGGTGAGGTGGGGGTACTTAGGGAGGTGATCACTAGGTTAAAATGCTGCAGCCCTGTCTAAAAATCCCTTCCCCTTATCCCTTTGCACCTTCCCTTTCTGGACATGCCTTTTCCAGGAAACATAGCCAGTTACTTGGAATGAATTCCTAGCTAGATATATTCTGGTTAGAGATGTCTCTTTGCTTTTTACACTTCTCACATAGCTTTTTTCCAACCTGGGAACCTTACTGCCCACTTATCTACATAACTAGTCTTCTAAACCATCTCCCCCATTTCTTCTCTGCTTCCACATCTCAACTTGGTATCTACCCTGAGCCTATGGCTTCCTCCCTCCTCCCTAGAACCCTGCCATTACCTGTACAGATAAAACCAGGAAGCCCTCCGTACACCATTTCCGCATTGTCAGGGAGTATAAAGGGGCACCGAGTCTGCACCTCCAGGCAATATTGCTTGCAGGGCACCCAGCGCTCACAATCCTGCTGGGTCACACTGAAGTATTCTGAGCACAGCCAGGCCTTGTAGACTGCCTGTGGGAAGAGAAAAAGTGTCAGCCCAGGCACCAGTCCCTTACCACCTCAGAAGAAAGGGATGAGGAAGAATGCTCTTGCAGTCTGAGAGTAGAGAGGGGCTTACAATATGCCTCAAGTAGCCAGTGCTTGAGAACGGTTTGGGTCAAAGTCACCTTAAATTTCCCACCTTATGGTCAGTACCTCTGAGTCCCTCAGTCTTTAGTCACCCAATACTTGGGATTTGTTCATTGGCAAAAGTTTCAAAACTGTTCCTATATCAGAGCAGTTTATCAATCCATATCATTTTACCACTGGCCCAAATAAGTATCCTAATTAATCTGAGGTCATTTAATGAGATAAATTTCAGTTCCACTCAATGATTAAGGAAATAAAATAATTGTTGTTCTACCTCATTCGGGTGTGGTTTGGATCAATTAGTAGGCCACATAAGATTATTTTGTAAATGCTACAGCATAACATAAATGCAACAGGTATTTTCTTTCCTTTTCACTGATTTATTTTTCGTTTACAACATCATAGAAGTTCTGAGGAATGCCTTAACAACTCTACATGTACAGGACTCACCACTTCTATCACCAAAGTTTCAGTGCTACACCACCATAAAAACGACCCCTCTACTCATTTTTCCCACCCACTACACTTTCCCTCTGCTAACTGTCCTGGTTTTCAGTGAATTAGGAGTTAGTTTACTTTTGTGTTTTCTGCCAGTTTGTTAGTTTTAGTTATCCATAGTCCAAATATGAATGAACTATTAGATAATTATCTTTCACTTTCTTTTTCACTTAGCCTATCATTTTAATATCCTGACATTTTCAGGAATCTGTCTTACCTTTGAAGTTCTACTTAATCCATGCCCTGATGTTTCAGACCTGGTGTGGAATTGACACATTTCATTTGGAATCTTTGCCTGTAAGTTTCATGTCTTGAGTATACTTCCTATCATCTAGCCTATTCCTACCAGACACTGAGTCCAAGCTAAGAAAGGTCACCTGCCTTTTGGGAATCAGCAAACCCAGATTTTCTCAAAAGTGACATCACTGACATTTTAAATTTGATAATACTTTGCAGTGGGCCTTTCTTGTGCATTACAAGATGCTATCATTCATATCTCATAGTTGTCAACAACAGCTCCACCCCTCCTGAACTTGTGACAATCAAAATATGCCTCCATCCATTACCAAATATCCCCTGTGGGGCAAAATCATCTACTGAGAACCACTGTTCTAGTTCCTTGCTTTTGAAGATATCATCACCTGGGAGATGTTGAGAAATGCAAAATTCTAGGCACCACCCCAAATCTGTGAATCATCAACCGCATTTGAACAGGATGCTCAAGCAATTTCTCTGCATTGGGTTAGAACTCTGCTCACATCTAGTCCTCATATTTCAGGGCACATTCTCATAATTGCTCCTCGTAATAGTGGTTCCATATTTCAGGTGTCAGATTTCCTTGGGGCTCCTGTTAAATGAGCTGATTGGCTACCCCAGCCAATTCACCCTCAAAGGACTGAGGTGGAATCTTGAACCTGCCTTTATAGATATTTGAATTTAGGCACCTTGATTTAAGATACTATTGAAAGTAGGATCGAATGATTTTAAAAAATTTCAACAGTATTCCCTCCAGCAGAGTATCGGCTTTCCTGGCTTTCCTCCACCACTGACCAGTGTTCCTTCTCACCACCACGCATCTGTCATATTACTTCCCCCATAATCCTGCCATAGATCCTGAATTTTGATAAAGGATCCAGGTCATTTCACTGCCAATGAATGACCTTTCACATACTCTGAGCAAGATGGTAAAAGCTTCTTACACTGACTTTTATCGTTTACACGAAAATAAAAATGACTCTGCTGTACACATCAACTTTGGAAAGGCAGTTCTGTACTGGCTTTTCCAAAGCTGGAAAATGGTAATAATAGAATATATGTGTGTGTGAGCTGGAGCGATAGCACAGCGGGTAAGGCGTTTTACCTTACACGCAGCCAACATGGCTGACCCGAGTTCGAATCCTCCGCCCCTCTTAGAGAGCCCGGCAAGCTACCGAGAGTACCTCGCCCGCACAGCAAAGCCTGGCAAGCTCCCCGTGATGTATTCTATATGCCAAACACAGTAACAAGTCTCATAATGATACTGGGCCCGCTCAAGCACATCGATGAACAACGGGAGGACCGTGACCGTGTTTGTGTGTGTGCACGCGCGTGTGTGTGTACTGAGGAAGAAAGCATCTTTGGGAACTTTATTAATTGACTGCCACCTAAAATTTAACATACTTTAAACGGGAAAATTAAGTTTTAATTTTTTTAACTGAAAACATACCCTCATCTCAGCAAGCGTTGGTCATTTCAGTTTACTGCTCTCGGTATTCAAGTCAGATACCTGCCAGCTTTTATTTGTCTTTCTCTGTATCCCCACATTCAGTTCATCATCAAGATATGCCAATTCCTACTCCATTTTCACATCTTTGTGCATTTTCACCTAATGTCACCCGAAAGAGTTTCCTACTGGTCCTCCCTAACTCCACTCCACTCATTTGTTCCAATTCACTATTTACACAGGAATAAAAAGCCTCTCAGAATGCCTTTGGATCATGCATTTCTCTTATTTCAAACCCACTAAGATATTTAAAACAAAAGGAGAACTTTCATCCAGATTGTCAGCCCCTACATAAGTTGGTCGTCTGTCTCTCCGACCTCATTTTTAAACCCACTTCACATTTGTGCAACACACAGAGGTTTTATTTATTTTCCTTGAATATGAACTACTTACTCCCACTTTGGAGCTTTGACACACACTGTTCTCTTGGCTAGAATACTTCCCCACCTGAGCGAAAATTATGGCATGGCTATATCATTATGTTTAATGTATCAGTTTAAATGTTACTTCCTCAGATAGGGTCTCTCCCTCATTATTGTCTTTTTTTTTTTAAAAAAAAAGGGATTTCTGCAGTGGTATTCAGTGGGGAGAGGGGAGTGTGAGGGTCTATTCCTGGTGATACTTGGCCTGGTACTGCTGACCTAATAATAGTTCAGTGCCCGGGCTGCCTATGCGGTGGTTCTCAGTCTTGGTGATGCTAATGGTCCACCAGGATTATATCTTATACTGTTTGGTGACAATGAGATGACAGATTGAACTCAGATCAGAGCCTCATGCATGCCAGGCAGGAGCTCTGCACTTTGAATTATCTTCCTGGTCTTTTTTTCATTTTTTTGTTTCTTTACCACAAGTATGACTTTATCTGCATCACTGTTCTTTTTTCTGTCAACCTCAATGAAATGTAAGATGCATGAAAGCAGACAATGGTCTTAGTGACCATTGAGTACTCAGTTCAGTATATATAAAATGTGCTTGCTGATTTAATTAACAGGGCAAGTAAATGAAAACATGTCTCTAATATTTGGGAAATTCCAGTTTCGGGGACTAGGCACATGTAACTTTACTGGATGGGACCTAGGCTATAATACCTCGGAGGTAAAACCACTGGGCACTGGAAGGAAACAAATAGAGAATGTGAAATTACTTTAGCAAGAAAGCTAGGATTAACTTAGTGTTGTAAGGAGTTTTAGATGGGATGATTAGAGATGAAGCCAAAATATGAATTCTAGGCTAAGAAAACTGCTTAAGCAAATACATTCAGGTAAGTGAAAGCAGGGGTTGCTAAAATAATAGGGAACTTTGCATGACTGTCGTGGAAAGGTGACCATTATTCTGTATAGGAATATTAATATCTGTGAAATCCCCTCACGTGCACGGAGCTGTGTAAACTCCTCTCGCGTGGGGATTCCACATTAACAGATGTTCGAGGGCTCTCCAGGTGGCTCTCTCTCGCTGCCCACGTTCAGTGCTCTCAAGCCACTTCTGTACCCAGGACGGCTGTTGTCTTGGATGAAGGAAGAATGAGGGACAAGCTGGTTGTTGATTAGTTGCTATTTATTCAACCTCTTGTCTCTCCCAGTTCTCTCCAACCCTCTGTCTAACTTGCTCTACAACTCTCTCCGTGACTCCTCTCCAATCTCCCCAGCCACTCTTACTCTAAGCTCTCAGCCTTCTAACTCAGTGTATCTCGCAATCTCTTGTCCTCTTCTGTCTCTGTCTCTGTCTGTCTCTCTGTAATCCCACAACTCTTTCTTCCCGCTGTATCCGTCTCTTCTATCTCTCGTTCTTCTCTCTATCCTTGCAGCAATTTTCTACCTCCTCCTTGCAGCTGCTCTTTCTCTTCTCTCTCCATGCCTCCCCAACAACACCTCCCCATGGGAAGCGTGATCAACATGTTTTTTCCAGTCTTCCCCTGCAGCCCATGAGAGCAAAACAGCCCTTACGGTGTGTTTCTCCTCTCCTTAGACCAGCAACTTAATTAACATCTTTAATTATACTTGATAATATTTACCATTCTGTATGGACACAGTAATAGACACTTTTAGGCTTGCAGGGTGACTCCTGGGACATCTCACCACAGACTCAGACTACAGTGCTCAGGCAAGATCAATCATCCCTAACCCCTGCAGGGTCCAAATCTAGTTATTACTTTTTGAATCATGACAGAATTTGTCCATGACCAAGCTCTAACTTATAGTTAAGCATTATGGCACTTCGGCCAGGCCCATTTTGATGCCAGGGTAGCTAGTTCACCACTTGCCCTGGGTCTATCCAGTCCCTTGTCGGGACCCTGCTTTTGGGGATCTAGGAAGTAAGAGAAACTGAGGCTTAAGTCCAGAGAGCAAATGTCCAGGAGGCAATATTATCTGGACTCAATCAACTCCCAAGCCACAGGCTTGTCTTTTTAGCTTTCTTCCTGTATCCAAACAAAAAGTAATCGCTCTGAAATAACTAACCATGCAAAGGACATTAAGGAAAAGAGAAAGATAATATTTACAAGACAGAGTCTGATCAGGAGACAAAGGTAATTGACAGGTTGGGGGGCAATCAATAAACACAAGCTCCCAGCGGCCAGGGAGGAAGGGCAAACCAATATTATCCTACAAACATCATCTCTAAGTTT